TGAAGATAGTGGATATGTAGATGGAGAAATAAATGGTAAAAAGCATACGTTGTTGGTGGATACCGGAGCGACCAGAAGCATTATACGCCCAACAGTTATAAACAGCCGTAAGAAACTGTTACCAACGAGGTTGCGGCTTCGGACCGCTACGGGTGAAAATGCCAACATTCATAGAGAAATTCAGATACAATTAGGAATTGAAGCAGAAAAGTTCGTCCATACTGTTATAGTTGCTGACATCGAAGAGGATGTTATATTAGGAATGGACGTAATGAATACGCATGGATTCCAATTGGATTTTAAGAATAAGGTAATCAAAGTTGGTAACGAGGAGGTATTTCTTCGTCCACATGATGACAACACTATGCAAGCAGCCGTTAAAGAAGATACAGTCGTGCCTGCGAGAAGTGAAACGATAATAGTAGCGCGCCTACAGGGAATTGTGGATGAAGGAACACCTGTTATGATGGAGCCTTGGAACCACGACGACGAAGTTAGCCGTGGAACCATAATTAGAAAGGAATTGGTGACTTCGGCTAAAGAAATTCCTGTGAGACTTATCAATGTCAATGACTAGCCAGTGACCATCAAGAAAGAGACAAAAGTAGGAACTTGTGTACCTGTGACATCCATAATCTGTCAGATGACAACATCTGATAATTCCAACGACAAATTCGACCAAATGGTTGCAGTTAATGGACAGTCTCTGAATCAGATTCAGAAAAGGAAATTAAGGGAATTTCTTCGGCAGTGTCGTGATATTTTCGTACCGAAAGGAGGAAAAACGGAAAGAACTACCATTGTTAAGGATTAAATTGATACTGTTAATGGAGGAAGCTGAAACGATTGTTCAAAAAATGAAGAAAGACCTTCTACAAGCCCATGGGTCTCTCCGGTGGTCCTGGTTAAGAAGAAAGACGGAACAACGAGGTTCTGTGTGGATTACCGTTTGCTGAACAACGTTATCAAGAAAGATAGTTATCCTCTGCCTCGGATCGATGACACATTGGCTGGAAGTATCCACAAGTTTCTACTTTGGATTTAAAGTCTGGATACTGGCAGGTAGAAATGGACCCGGTAGATACAGAAAAGATAGCCTTCACCACAGGATCGGGATTATGGCAATTCAACGTTATGCCATTTGGACTCTGTAATGCTCCTGCGACATTTGAGAGGCTTATGGAAAATGTGTTGAGAGGGTTATCTTGGAAAACATGCCTAGTTTATCTAGACGACATAATCGTCTTGGGGGAGACATTTGAAGACCATCTGAAGAATTTAGAAAACGTTTTTAATCGACTTAAAGCTACCCAATTGATGTTAAACCCCAAGAAGTGCCAGCTATTTCAAGGTAAAGTCAATTATCTGGGTCATATAGTTAGTAAAGAAGGAGTGGCCGTGGATAAGGGAAAAATCGATTCCATTAAGGAATGGTCAAAACCAACTGACAAACACCAAGTGAGAAGTTTTCTAGGACTATGTACTTACTACCGGAGGTTTATTAAGAAGTTTGCGGATATCACTAAGCCATTAACGCGACTCACAGAGGAAACAAGAGAATACCGCTAGAATACAGACTGCCAAAATGCCTTTGAGACCAAAAAAACATTTAATTAAAAATTAAATTAAAAAAATTTAACAGCACCAATTTTAGGGTATCCACTGCCAGAAGGAGAGTTCGTCTTAGATTCAGATGCAAGTAATGTGGGAATTGGAGGAGTGCTGTCTCAGATTCAAGGAGGACAGGAAAGAGTGCTTGGATATTTTAGTAAGGTTCTCTCAAAACCTGAGCGGAATTATTGCGTCACGAGAAGAGAACTTCTGGCAGTAGTGAAATCAGTAGAGCACTTCTATGAATACCTCTATGAAAGGAAATTTTTAATCCGAACCGACCATGCCGCCCTTAAGTGGTTGATGTAATTTAAGAATCCAGAGGGTCAGATAGCCAGGTGGATCGAACGACTCCAAGAATGTGACTTCAAGATTGAGCACCGGGCCGGAGTTAGCCACCGAAACGCTGATTCTCTTTCCAGAAGGCCATGCCCATCAGAGTGTTCCCACTGCAACAAAACGGAATCCAAGGAAGCAGTAGTGCTAAGAACGACGGTGGTCAACGACGACTGGACGCCTACCAAGATCAGGGAAGAACAAGAGAGAGATCCAGTTATACAGAAAATCCGAAAATGGAAAGAGAAAAATCGTCGACCACCTTGGTAAGAAATATCAAACCTAGGCTCAGTAGTTAAGACGTATTGGGCCCAGTGGGACTCATTTATCATGAAAGATGGTTTGCTCAAATGAGTCCTGGAAAATGATGACGGTTCAGAGAAGAGAAGACAGTTGGTGATCATAAAGAGCAGAATAGCCGTCAATAGTATAGCCGCAAATAGTACTTCGTCAGTTACACGACAGTCCATCAGGAGGGCATTTTGGTGTAAAAAAGACCCTTCAGTGAATTCGGGAACGGTTTTATTGGATGAACAGTTCCGACGATGTTAAAGACTGGTGTAAGAAATGTACTATTTGTGCTACGAGTAACGGGCCTTATCAAAAAAGGAGAGCTCCTATGAGACAATATAATGTTGGAAGCCCGTTTGAAAAAATAGCTTTGGACATTGCTGGGGGCCATTTCCAGAAAGTGATAATGGAGGTAAGTACATGTTGGTAGTAATGGATTACTTCACTAAGTGGGTCGAAATTTACACACTTCCAGACCAGAAGGCCGCCACCGTTGCAGATAAGTTGATCCAAGAATATATCAGCCGATTTGGAGTGCCTTTGGAGATCCATAGTGACCAAGGCAGGAACTTCGAAAGCGATCTATTCCAAGGAATATGTGATAGACTAGGTATGAAGAAAACAAGAACTACGGCTTATCATCCGCAATCGGATGGTATGGTAAAACGGATGAATAGGACAGTTGGCAGGTATTTGACAAAGATAGTATCCGATCATCAGCGAGACTGGGACCAATATCTTCCGTTCTTCACAATAGCCTACAGATCTGCTGTTAACGAATGGACAGGCCAGACACCAGCCAGAGTGTTATTTGGATGCGAGATGCGACTACCTTGTGATCTAGAGTTTGGGTGTCGACCTGGAGAAGATGTAGCAGGTGAAGATTATGTGATCGAATTACGAAGAAGAATGGACGAACGAAGAGTTGGTCCGTTCCCATCTCCAGATCGCTAGTGACCGAATGAAGAAACGGTACCATACGCAAGCTGAAAATGGGGTGTTTTAAGAAGAACGACAAAGTCTGGCTCTATAATCCCAAAAAGCGAAAAGGTTGTTCTCCGAAGTTGCAGCAGTTTTGCACAAGATCTACTTGCACTTCCCGATGACTACTCACTGGCCCTTACCATCCCGGCCAGTATCAAAGACGCACCAGTGTTGGCATCCTTCTTTCGAAGGAAGTTCGGCAGAGTTGCAGAACTTCAATGCCAAGTACCAGCTCCCAGTAAAACCTTAAAACTCTAAGATGCATCACGTTACCTCTTCTACCTGGTAACAAAAGACACTGCCCGTGACCAACCTACCTACCGAGATGTATGGGAAGCCTTACTTCAATTGAGAGAGCACGTACTAGAGTCTGACGTGCAAAAGTTAGCCATGCCAAAGTTGAAGTGCCGCCAATTAGATTGGAGGGTTATCCGAAATATGGTGGAAGAGATTTTTAAAGACACCGAAGTCCAGGTGTTAGTCTGTTGCAATCCGCATAGCTACTGGTGCAGAAAGAAAACCGTCCCTTGTCATTTTTATACAACTGGAAGTTGTAAAAGGGGGTCCAGTTGCTGATACCAGCATGTCGTTCCAGTTCCAGTCCCGACAAGGTTCCAGGAGGAACCATCTTTTAAGAGGGGAGCAATGTTACGTAAAAATTAGTCATATTTACAAAAAAAAACCAAATCGACCTTTCTGGAAATAGGCCACTATAAAAAACCAGTTCGAGACTATTCAGGTCAACTTCCGTCTGTTTCAGAGAGATCCTATGCTGACGACATTTAATATAAATAAAGGATTTTTATTGTGGGGAATCCAGTTAGTAAGAAGATAAATTCGCGGTCGCGTATTTAAATGTACATTCGTAATAAATTATTGTAAAATAAATTAGTACAAATAAATTTGTAAGTGTTATAAATACAACCTTTAATAAATTAAATTAAGAACAATAAATAGAATTAATAAAAATATAACAATATGAACACAACAGTTGGTGACGAGAACGGAGCGAATTAGGAATATTTTTTAAATTACTAAGTGTGAAACAACATGAGAGATGCCCAACAATGCCGACATGCCAACAATTCCAAATCAAGGTGTAGTGGCTGAGACGGTCAATCATACAGTACAGATCGTATTTTCAATAGAATTACATTACAGTGGGAGAAGAACGTTTTGTGTTATGCACCCAGGGTTATAAATAAATATATCGAAAACCAAACAGCTGCTTGTGAGTCATGCCAAGTGGTGATAACACCAATATACCAGAGGTATAATAAGAACCAATTGATACTAATAAATCACCTTCTCATAGTCCAGGCTATCCTCGTATCACTTCCTCACCTTGCTCCTTTTTAACACAATTTTTAAATAATATTTTTTTGAAAACTATTTTCTGTGCAAATCGAAACGTCATTTTACGCATATTTATTTATTAACACGATCAAAACCAAAACATTGATCGCAATTAACAAGTCAAAATTAACGTTTAAGAATTGCATTAAGTCATATGAGCCGAATTTTGAAAAACTCTGCACGTATGAAATGTCAGGTTTCGTCCAGTTAAACATTTTTACTCATTTGTTTATTGGTAGTGGGATTTTTTAAGCTAATAAGTATTTCACCTTAAAATATACATATGAATATTATACAATATAATAATTTTTTATTCGTACATTTTTTTTTGTATTTATTTCTTTACATTGCAATTTTTAATTTAATAAACATTATTGTGCTTCATAAATTAAAAAAAAAATAGTAATTGGTTTTCTTTATTTGCGTTTATTTTATTAAAGTATCTATAAAAAAAATTAAACATCATGATTAGGCTGTTTGTTCGGGCTGTTGGGCCGTTGTCTTCTGAGATTAGTTCTCGACGTTCTACATATCAGAAGACAACAGCCTAACAACAGCGAAGACAACAGCCTAACAGCTCGAACAAACATCCTAATAAGTTAGATGATGGCCGTGAAAGCCTAATGCATTTTATCATAAAATTTGTTTTTCGATATTCATAGCCGATACGGACTAAGTACATTTTACAGAACAAGTAGTAGTTCACAAGGGATGACAGTTTAGACACATCTGGTATAGCCTGTAGTTGAATATAAAATACTAGTTGTCTTTATTTTTATTTTCGATATTTTCACTATCTAAGGATGAGATGCGGGATAACAGCCACTAATATCGGTTAATCTTTTGGGACATACGACTTCATCAAAGGTAACATCGGGATTCGAGTACCCGTTCATCCAATTGAATCTAAATTCACACCCTGGTTGCAAGTGAGCGGGAAGATTGTGACACTCTTGTATATTGTGGACACCACCATATTGATCTCCCCATTTGGAAACATCAGCGTTCCATTGGGAGGAACATCCCTGAGTGTAATACCTATAAAAAACATAATGATTAGTTTTATCACTTTTATTTGTGTTTAATTTTTAAAATTTTTATTTTTGGATTTTTTGAGGTTTTACGCCTATTCAATGCCTTCCATCTCAAAGAAAGAGCTATAAGTTTCCATCATGCATTACAGTACTACTCATCCTCGGCCGACCCAAGTATCGGCATATTCTAATGTATTAAAACCTCTCAATTTTATAATGAGTGTCTCTATTTTTTAAACTTGTCCATCTAGTCTTATCTGAAAACAAATCCATCTAGTCTTATCTGAAACCAAGCAAGAAAAATGAACAGGAAAAAAGTAAACTTTCCACTGCCTCTAAGTAACTTATGAGTAAACGACTTTTTTGATAAAATAGCTCCACCTTACGTAAATAACCAGATAGATGTAATGCCATCTGAAACTCTCTCATCTGATCAGAATCATTTTCTCTTAACACCTTTTTCAAGAGATGAATTAGAGTTTGCCCTTGATAATCGCGTTAGTACCTCACCAGGATATGATGCAGTCAAATATCCTATGATATAAAATTTGCCAGATAACGTAAAATAATTACTTTTAAATATATTTAACCAGATAATTATTGAGGGTAAAGGCATAATAGATTTTAAGCGTATTATAGTTGTCCCTGTTCCCAAACCGGAAAAAAACCCTAAATTAGCTGATGCTTACCGACCTATATCATTATTATCATGTATATTGAAGACTCTTGAACGGATGATTAAAATTAGGTTAGATTGGTTGCTAAGGGATCAAAGTCCCTTACCCGCTAACCAACATGGCTTTAAGAAAGGTTATGGAACTTTTGATTCGTTAACAACCCTTGTTGTAGACATTCAGAATAGTTTTTCCAGGAACAGTTATGTACCTGCTTTATTTTTAGACATCGAAGGTGCTTACGACTCGGTATCTCTTACAATTCTCCAAGAAAAAATGATTACATTTTTTCATATTCCAGCACAGTTTACTTGTAACGTTGTGAACCTGTACACAAATAGGATAATTTATTTAAAAGACAATCATACTCTTATAGGACCTAGACTTAATAACAAAGGATTACATCAGGGCTCCGTTTTTGAGTCCTATTTTGTTTAACATTTACACAGCAGATCTACACAACATCACTATTACTAATATTGCATTTAATATTGTACAATATGCTGACGATTTCTGTTTGTATACAGAACACAAAAAATATCAGCAATCCATTGAAAACCTGAATGAAGCGTACGGATTCCATCAAAAATGGTTTATAGAAAATGGTTTCGAATTATCCTGCACTAAATCACAAGTTTGTTTATTTACCAGACATAACTTTTCTAATGCCAGTACAATCAATTTATGTGGGCACCAATTTTCCCTTAAAAACACAATTAAATATCTGGGAATGATACTCGAATAGAAATTGACCTGGAAGTTACATATTGACGACATGTTGAACAGATGCAATAAGGGATTAAACTTTCTTAAATCAATTAATAAAACTTGGTGGGGATCGGATGTTGAAGTAAGTTTATTATTTTACAAAGCTTACATACGATCTATTTTGGATTACGGAAGTGTTTTATATGGATCAGCAAGTAATGTACTACTAAACAAAATCAACGTTTTACAGAACTCAGCCTTACGAATATGTTTAGGAGCCATGAGATCCACTCCAGTGCAAGCTTTATATTTGGAAGCTTTGGAACCTCCTTTAAATATAAGACGAAGGTTTTTGTCCAAAAAATATTTAATGAAAGTATACTCACTGAACTCATCTCTATACGAAAAGATAGTCACTTTGAATTGCCATGATCTAACAAATAAATATTGGCAAAAAAAAAAGAAATCTCCCTTACTTTGCGAAGCGTATAATCAAAATATAGCACTTTTAAAAAATATAGATAGAACGAACTACATATTCAAAAATTACTCTTCTTTCTTTTTACATACAGATATTATTGTACCAAATTATAGTGAAAATATATATTTAAATAAAAATATTGTTCTATCTATAACAAGCAAGTAAAAAGAGGCAATAGCTCTATATACAGATGCGTCTAAATCTCCAGATGGAACCGGATGCGCTTTTTTTATACCATCGGAACATATAGAAAAGAAATTCAAACTAAACCCGGAAACTTCGATTTATACAGCAAAGGCCATTGCAATATATGAAGCTTTATTATATGTAGCTGAAGTTGATTTTGCCCATATTATAATTTTGTCGGACTCCTTGGCAGTGTTAAAATCCATTGGTAAATATGGACCACCAAACTTACAAGACTGCCCATACATTTATAGAATTAAACATATTATTCAAACTCTTTTAACCAAAGGAATCAATGTACATATTCTCTGGATTAAAGCACATGCAGGATTTGAACATAATGAATATGTCGACTTATTAGACAAAGAAAGCATTTTAACCGATACAGGTATTTTACATAAAGTAACGCTTTCTGACAGTATTGTTTCTTGCAAGTCAACATTGTTTAGAGAGTGGAGCTACCAGTGGAAGGAATACTCTTTTGTGAACCAAAATAGATACTCGATAACTCAGCCAGATATTCCCAAATTTCCTTGGTACAAGTATTTTAGAGCTTCCAGGAGGCACATAACTTCCATTATTAGAATACGTTTCGGACACGCATGTTATCCAAAGCACTTATTTAAAATAAAGGTTTTGGATGATGACACATGTGAGCATTGTGGAGAGGAAAGTGATTTAGATCATATATTTTTTGGTTGTTCTAAAAACAGAGTCTACTCATCCAAACTTATAAATGATTTATTAAAATATAAAATAGCAGCTCCTTGGAATATGCTACATTTATTATCACTCGGCTCTGTAGATATTTACAACTCTTTAATAAAATTTTTAAAAGATAGCAAATTATCATTATAATTCTCTAAAAATTATTTAGTTAATCTTGTTACCTTGACTATTATTCTCACTGACTTAATTCTCTATTTAGTTAATCTTGTTACTTACTCTCCGTGACCTAGTATTGTTATGTCTTATATAAATCAATGCCTTGATAGGTCCCTAGGCAAGAAAAGTGTGTCCCTGTTCTCCTAATATCGATGTAATCTTCTATCTTGATAGGGCATTTAGGTAAATAATTATAATGATGACTGTCTTAGTTCTTTTGTGTCTGGCTGTATAACACGATAGTCTAAGCCAAAAAAAAAAACGTGACATCATAACTATTAAGTTTTATCGTTAGTAGGCTCCATTTTCGTAAAACGTCTTGTTATTTGTTCCCGTTCAACATACTAATGGACGAAATAATAGAAGATATGAAATCGATACTGCTAGGATACAGATTCAGATAGCAGAATTGGTATTGTGTGCTAGACAGTTTAACAGTGTGTAGCATGCTGACAGTTTAACATGAGTATACTCAAATCGAAAACGAAGAGCTAAATTTCCAATTAGATGTAAACTCGTAGTGAAGAACAAACCCTTAAAACAGCTGCATAAATTCGAATATCACGAGTTGTACTATATCTATCCAGTTAGCATGATTCAGTTAGAGACCTAAGAGGGCAGATAAATAAGGACACAGTCATATCTGAAAGCTTAACAGATGCTGTCTGATAACCCAAAACTGTAAATGGACAACAAACATAAAATTTATAAAACCTATCTCAGATCTGTAATGACCGAGAGAATAGAATCCAGGGAAGACACCATTAAAACTAAAAATATGTTGCATGCAATCGAAATAAAGGGAAAACATGAGAAACAATATCATCAGACAACAATCTGGCATACAAAATGTAACGAAATGCAGTAGGCAGAGCAAGAGAATGGTACAATCATATGAAGTAGATGGAGGTGCACAAGCTACCAAGAAATACACCAGAAGGAAAACCAGCTGGCATGCGACCACTAAGGAGACCATCAAAGAGATGAAGAGATAGCTGGCAGTCTACCTATCAAGTAATACTTCAACGACGGAATTATTAGATCGTCAGATTTTCAGCAAGTACAAAAAAGAAGGAGAATAGCTTTCCTAATTTTATTTTTTGTGAGGTCATCATGGGTTGTCTTACTTGTAAATTTAATATTTTGAAACATGAGGTACAAAAAGTACATAAATATAAACCATTTAACGTACCCAACTCCACTTCCTGGCATTGCAATATCGAACTCGTTGTGAGTTGCAGATGGGTCGTCATTTCCAGTATTAGTAACTTGTAAGACCATTTGTTTGTGAGCAAGTTCTGCTGGTTTGAATCTGAAAACAATACAAGAACAGCACATGTTCCGCTTGGTGTTTATGAATTTAGCAGCTACAAAACCTAAAAAAAATGTTTTTAAGATTATATGGAGGGTACAGAAGTCAATCAATGTAAGTCAATAAAAAATATTTATAAGATTAATGGCTTATTAAAAAAAAATCAGTTTTCCAAAAAAATAATAACTCTTTAAAAGATGCCAAAATAATTTTATTGATAGATGGTAATACTCAGAACTTATTCTCAGAAAACAGAACTCAGTAAAAAAAGTTGCATGAGCATCGTATTCACGTATATATATATATATATATATATATATATATATATATATATATATATATATATATATATGTAAAGAATTAAATCTTTTAGCGAAAGCCGCTATCGCTTTATATATTAAATGGCCAACTATATGGCCTAGGAGACAAATTCGTTAAACTTCCCGTGCTCGAATTGGTATCACTAAAGTGTTATGATCATTTCGGCCTATCCCAGCCATCGTCAGACACTTGGGCTGATACAATTCGTTTTACTTTCCGAGTTTGAATTTGTATATATATATATATATATATATATATATATATATATATATATATAGTAAATACTATTTAAAATACTAAAAATTTACTATATATATATATATATATATATATATATATATATATATATATAGTAAAAAAAATTGCATGAGCATCGTATTGACGTATATATATATATATATATATATATATATATATATATATATATATATATATATATATACAGTGTAGGAAAAATTTTATGGTCGGTATGGACCTTACGTGAGATGGAGTGAGAAACAGCTGTTTAAAAAGAGAGAGGTATATTAGGTACGCCCTTTATATCGCCGAATGGAAATATTAAAAAAGGGGAAATTCAACGTTGCCAAACTTATTGGTTTTATTTGACCTGTTGTCTTTTTTGCATTTGAACAATGTTCTATCAAGAAGATAAAATGCTCAAGATAATCAAATTTGGGCGAAATTGATTTAAATGGCAGGTTACTGTTTTTTTTATTGGGAATATGCCACAAGTTTTCTTTACAATAATTGTAATATAACATTTTGATTTCCATTTCGGAAATCGTTTTATATAAATAAAATTTATTAATGTTTCGTATTTTAAGTACGATTTCCGAACTAAAAATCTAAACATCAAAATAATTTCCCAATATGAAATAATAAACAATTAAACATGCATACAATAACGCCAAATTAAAAAATATTCATACACTAATTTATTTGGCAACGTCTAGTCTAGATAGTCGTTTGGCCACCGTTCGGTGGTTTGGTCAAAAGATCGAGTAACGAGAAGTAGAGGTGGGTCGTGCTAGTTTATCGTTAAGAGCGTAGGTGCAAAATTTCGGGTCAATGTTTTTTTAAATGCATTCATTTTTTTCGAATCCTGAGAAAACTAATAAATATTTTTGAAAAAATTAAACGCAGAATGAAACAATACATTATTACCGAGAGCTGAAAGTCCCTGAAAACTTCTATAATGTGTATTTTAATAAGTTATAGGGATGAAAAAAAAAAAAACAAAATTTAGTGTGATTTTTAATTTCAAATATCTCATTAAAAAAACTTTTTGTTTATTCTAAGGGACCTTCGGCCCTTGGTAATAATGTAATCTTTCATTCTGCATTTAAATTTTTCAAAAATATTTGTTAGTTTTCTCAGGATTCCAAATAAATTTTAATTTTTTTGAATGCTAAAAAGCATTTAAAAATTTTAATTTTTATAAACAAGTAACTATGATTGTTTAAAAGTAGTTTCAAGTAAGATAGTACCTACATAAACAAACATAACGGCTATTATCGTTTATGTGTATATCTTTTGAAGTGAAAGAAACTACCTAATGATATATTTATTATAACTTGAAAAATAAACTAAACAATCATCATCATCATATAACGGGGGTCCTACGGCGATTGCCGCTTCCCGCATTTCAGCCTCCATCTTTTCCTATCTCTTCAATCTCCCTCTTCTAAGCCTCTAGATTGCATTGTTTTTGTAATTTCTCTTCTCCAGGAATTTGGTGGTCTTCCCCTTTTCCTTCTTTCTGGCGGAACATACATTAAGGCTTTCTTTGGCCACCGCTCCTCCTCCATTCTCATCACGTGACCATACCATTGTAATTGCCTTCCTTGTATTCTATCTGAAAGAGTATCTCTAATTCCTGTACGGTTTCGTATTTCCTCATTCCTGATTCTTTCCATTCTCGATACTCGACATGACCGTCTAAGATAATCCATTTCCACAACGTCTACTTTATCTCGTTCATTCTTTGTCATCGTCCAACATTCGGCACCATATGTGGTAATTGGTTCTACAATTGCTCTGTATACGCGAAGTTTGGTATGCATCTTTATTTTATTAGACCACAGTAATGAATTCAGTATTCGGATGCATTTTTTCCCTTGGGTTATTCGGTTTTGTACATCTATCTTAACTCTGCCATCTGCTGATATGATGCTTCCTAGATATTTATACTGGTTGCAGCCTTTTATGACTGCGTTTTCAAGCCTCAGATCTGTGGTATTTCCTCCAATTTTTAAATATTCTGTTTTAAATATTCTGTTCTAAACTAAACAATACAAATAGTAAATCGGACTTACATTTACATTACACGTTATTATTAAATCGCGAATAGTCTAAATTGACATAAAAACTATTGTCCTGTGTTAAATATTGTCCTGTTAATGCGAAGTAACTCTCAGTTACTCCAGATGTCCAGGTAATACAGATATTTTCTACTTCTTTAACAACTTGCGATCTAATAATTTGCTCACTTTTGACATAATATTCCTGAAGTAATGAACCTGACAAAGTTTTTCTTGTTGGTGGTTTATATCCAGGAATCCACCCTGCAAACTTTTTAAAAGCTGGTTCTTTAACTATGGAAAACGGATGAAACGAAAAGTTTAGTAAATCTTGAAAATCAATCAGTCCAAGAAAAAGAAACTGATAAAGATGACTTAAGTCCATGGTGTATTTTTGATGAATTAATTGGACATGACTCATCTAAACATACACCTGTATCGAGAGGTATAAAAGAAGTCGACATGTAATTGTCTGATGATATATTACCCACAAACAATTTCGAACGGAGATTGGAACTGTCCATTACCGTGGTGAAAAAACCATCGCCATGTATATCGTAACTTAACCACTATATTCATAAAATGTTGTAGTATTGTAACAAAATCTTTTCCTTGTGAACACATGTTTAACATCTGGTATAATTTTAAATAAAAGAAGAACGCGATTAACAAGAAAAGTGGAAAAACTTATGTTTTTAAATGTCAATTTAGACGATTCGCGATTTAATAATGTGTAATGTAAATGTAACTATTTAAGTACCATTTGTATTATTTAATTTATTTTTCAAGTTACAATAAATATATCCTTCGTTAGGTTCTTTTATTTCAATACTTATACACATAAACGATAATAGCTAATATGTTTGTGTACTCGCTAATTTGAATACTGGTAAACAATCAACTAGTTACAGTTTACGAAAAACGGTTCCGATAAAAATTAAAAAAACGAGAAGACCCACCTCTAGTTTTTTAGGTATATTAGGATCGGAACCAGAGAATATCTGATCGGAACTAATCGTCTCACTAATGGGCAATGGCCAATGAGTGTTAAAAGGATTCTAGGAGGGGAGACGAAGGGGAAATATGATTGTTATCTTTGTCTAATTCGTTGAAAATATGATTTTATATCTGCGTTAGATATCCTGTTAAATTTTACCATACCGACCTTAAAATTTTACCTACACTGTATATATACATACGTACATATAAAACACAAAAAAATGATATATTAAATGTTCATCAAAATCTCTGAACAATCAATCAATGTATTTTGTCTTGATTAGGTATTTGCTATTGAGGCTGAGGCACCAATTTCGATAGGTCAACTTTTATAAAATGGATGATAGTACGGTGGAATAAACGTCAGTAGATTAAACATGTCTTTTTTTCCTTTAGAGGCTTGCGATATGGGCAAAATTTATTTTAAACCATATTTAATAAATTGGAATATATTCCCTTTGATGCTGCGTCTGAAATATTAATTTCGTAGAATGGAAAATCGTCTTGCAAAGTGTCTTTGTGGAAAATAGAATTAGGTTTATGTTTGCAATACCTCAACCATTTTTTCAACCAGTTTAGGTTACTTCTCTGTTTATTTTTCTATTGAATATACGATCTTCTAATTTTTTTGTGAAAAAGAATTCTACTCTTCTCTTTTTATTACTGTTACTTGAAATTAATTACCTTTTTAGCAAATAAAATGAAATTGGTCCAGTTCTTAGGACCATAATTCCTTCATCTTTACTATTGACTCAATGACACCAAAGTCAGCATTATTTTGCAGGTAACTATGATCTGATACGGAGAATATAACAATAACATCAGATACGGGTATGACACGGTGGTATTCGCTGACAGTTATGAAGCCCTGGAGAAGTTAATAAATAGAATCACGGAAGTGAGTCAAAGATATGGACTTTCATTGAATATTAAGAAAATAAAATATATGATGATCTCTAAGAAGGAACAGAAAACCAATAGAAAGAGTAAAAATACACACCTACCTTTCCCTAGACCACAGGACCATTCCCTAGAAATAAAACGTAGGATAGAAAAACTAAGATCTGCATTTAAAAAACAGCTAAACTATTCAAATTCCATGGTTTATCAGTACCCACAAAAACCAGGTTACTACGATGTTATATCTTTCCTATACTATTGTACGGAGTTGAGTCCAGGATTCTCACAGACACTACCTGCAAGAAAATTGAGGCTTTCGAAATATGGCTTTATCGACGAATCCTAAAGATATCCTATACCAACCACATTACTAACTATACCGTTTTATTAAGAATGCAAACAGAAAAAGAGTTGTTAACTACGATAAAAATAGCCAAAATCAAATACCTCGGTCACATCATGAGGAACAGCGAAAGGTATGGGTTTCTGCAATTAATTCTACAAGGAAAAGTAAAAGAAAAACAAGGATCAGGAAGGCGAAGGA